TTCCTGATAGTATGCCGGCCTTTATGGGGGGTTTCCTGATAGTATGCCGGCCTTTATGGGGGGCTTCCTGATAGTATGCCGGCCATTATGGGGGGTTTCCTGATAGTATGCCGGCCTTTATGGGGGGTTTCCTGATAGTATGCCGGCCTTTATGGGGGGCTTCCTGATAGTATGCATCTGCCAAAAAAGGGGGAGCATCCCATCTTGTGCTGGGGAAATTGGAAGCCTGGTGCCACAGTCCTGGAAATGGCCATCCCTCCATCTGCACAGTGTGTCTGATTTTGCCCCTATCGAGCTGCTGTAATAGGTGTTCAATAGACACTGCCGGAGCCGAATAAAGACTAGCGATCTGGGAGAAGGCTTCTGCCAGGCTATGTATACATTGAATGCAGGGGTGATTGGGCCTGCATGGTGAAACCCCAGCTTCCCAGTAAGCCGAGGCCTAGCTTTTAAACACCATTTGTATCTATTTACCAATACCTTGCTATTTTATTAGGTTTGTCACTGAGCCCTGTTTTGCATATACTAGCACTTGCTCATGCATGCCTTATGAATATAGAAATTAGCATCTCATTTACTTGATAATTAGGCCAATGATAAACAGCTGTTTGGTTGCCATGTAGGGCGAGATTTCTACCCAAGTTACTTATCTGCCATACACAATAGCTGTGAAATCCTTTGTCATGCTATCAATTACACAAAGCAACAACAGGAAATAAACTTTCCTTTCACACATTTGCTTTCATTGTAATTAAGATCCAAATTTATGCTCTGCTTTCGGGGGTGGGGGGGAAGAAGGGATAATGTGGTGTTGCCTAAGTCTTGATCAGTGTATACTTTCAACTTAGCTTTTATATTTCTTGTGCAGTTAGAATGTTACACACTGTGTATTCTGCTGGTAATGAGTTCTTCCATGTCTTTATATAATTATATAAATTGGGGATTCTTCTCTTATTTCCATGTCATTATGTTGAAAAACGTGGCACATATCAACCCTTACTAATGTCTCAAGCTTCCCATTTTATTTCCTGGTTGTTTTCTTACAAAAAGGCCAGTTTCAGATTAATCTGGGTTTTCTCCTTTTCTTGTTTGTTTCCCACAGGACTTACGCTGAGAGCAATCAATCATCTAAGAGATGTGAGGAACACTACAAGAGGCATGAAAATGCTTTCTTTATGATGTAGGTGTGGTCCAAACCACATTTATTTCCAACAAATAGAAGCAGAAAGGATAACACTCTATTTCTCTTTAATTTACATGGATTTAAAACTGGAGGTATAATTAAAGAAACGGGAGAGAGAAAAATAAGCAGATATGTCTTTCTAATAAAAATAAACTTGATTCCACATTCACAGCAAAGTCACAGAAGATAATTTGAAACCTGAGGTAGCTTCCTGTAGAGAAAGATAACAACCAGCAAACTAATGGGTAATCAATGGCCAATTGCTTCAGGAAAGAGGCGCCCCACAGAACTCCCTGGAAATTCATGTGCTCCATAGAAGGAACTGGGAAAAGCCTTAAGACTCTCCAAGGGAACGCGCCTTTCTTAATGAGGAAGGGAGGTCTAGGGGTCCCGTTTTGTGCTGATCAAGGTCTGGGGGTGAACTGCTGTCCTCCCTTCTTTTGCTCTGTGCTGTCCTCTGAGCCACTACATTAAAAACAATCTTCCCCCATGATTTCTGGGGCTGTAGTCAAGTATAGTTTATGTGAAAGTAAATCTGGAAAGATTACCTTTCAAAACTGCCAGATGCTTCACATTTTCTGGTAGAAATCTGGATTCCAGGTTTGTAATGATATTCCCTGCTGTGCTCAACACTCAATCAGAATGTATGCTTCTTGGTGGGCAGCACAAGAACTCCAAGGCTAACCTGGCAGTTTGGCTCTCATGTTTTTCCAATCTGGCTAGGGGACATAAATTTAAATTCTGGGCCCCCCAAGCTAAACTTCAGAACGAGTTTTGTTAATTTCAGATCTCCCACTGTTATGGTCCCTCCTCTCACATCTGCCCCATACAATACAATTTATGATTACATTTATACCAAGGAATAAAACATACCCCTTTTACAGAAAACTAAATTATTACATTGGTGCTATAAGAACATTTAGGTTCTCATTTCCCTTGGGTTTCCCATACTTATATTCATGTTCTTTCCTCTATCCAATCTGAAATATATTAACACCCTCTCCCCTTTCTTCCTTAATCTACCTTGCTTATTTTATGCTATTTTGTACTGGTTCATAGTAGATGTTCCAAAGAGACAAAGATTGGTATGCTAATTCATTTATTTTAAGGCATTGGACCTTGATATAACTTTTTAAAATGTATCTAATATGTGGCTTGTATTCTAGGATTCTTGAAAGGATTAGATGAAATAATGCACAGGAAGTGATTAGCACTAGGTTGCATACAGAGCCTGTATCAGTTAATATTTGCTGTTTCCTCTAACTGACAGGGTTTGGAGAGGAGAGCAGAAAAATACTATATAAAGTAGGTGCATTCTCTCTCTCTCTCTCTCTCTGTGTGTGTGTGTGTGTGCCTGTGTGTGCACGTGCCAGTGCTCACATGTCTCTGTGCAAGTGTCAAATCTTCATTTTCTACTGGATATGTGATTCTGTGCCTTAGATCCTTAGTTCCAAAGCAGGAATAACAACAGTTTCTGCTGCTGAAGTCACTGTGAAGATTAACTCAATGAATGGTTGGCAACTAGTGAGTGTAAAATTTTGTTAAATAAGCCAATATGATTCTTGATTAAATGGCCCTCCCATTCTCATCGTAGACTGTATGGGACTTTTCAAGCAGTGGGAAATACATCAACAGGCACTTCTTGCATACACTAGTGTCACCAAAACCAGTGACGCCTCATGACACAACTCATCCATTTAAGGCAGACAAAGCAGGCTGAGAACTATGCAGTTATGCACTGCAGGGTTCTGTCATCCACTGAGCTCTGGATGTTTTTCCAATATCTACTTATTCTTCCAGGGATTTTCAGCTGTCATGAATTATTGTCTGTGCTGCGTACTGCACATTTAGGGTATGAGTGTCTTACTACTGCCTTGCTTCTTGAGGTACTTCCTACCTACACATACTAGGCTGAAATAGAACTCTTATAAGACAAGGCTGTGAAATGGTATGTGTGCTGTCTTTTCCCAGATTCTGAGTTTCTACTCAAAAGTATAGCCCCCATATTTATATCATGGCACTATTATCTCTGGCATTTTCATGCTTTGTCTTAATGTATGTGTATCCTTTTCTTAGCTAACTGAAGTATTACTCAGGTTTCTCTAATCTTGTCAACTCAAAACTGTCACTCCATTGTGCCTTCCCATGATATTCAGTGTGCTTACATCTTTAGATTACGCTGATAAAATGAGCTACGATTAAACTTGATTATAGATACCAGAAAGATCCAAAATAATTATCCCTCAGTCAAGAAAACGTATTTCCATCTTACCCTCACCATAGATAAAATATGCAGCTGACATAGTGATCCAAGTTGCCAGGGAATTCATCTCCTTTTGTCTAATTGACACATATGACTTCAGACCCCTGGAATATCTCATTGCCAAGGAAACTGTTGGAACTCCAGCTATGGCATGTCCATGATAGATGACAGACAAAAGATACCAACCTTATTGTCTGAAAGCTTCCCAGACACTATAGACACAGAACACCAGGCACGTTCCGCCAGCATACTGTTAGCCAGTGGACCACACATCGCTATAAAGAAAATGGAGCCTTTGTACTGAGAGGGGATGAAGCATACTAAAAGTCACAATCTGCTAACTCAGCACTGGCGAGCAGACATTGTGGAAGGTCAACCACTTCTGTATTATCTGAGTCAGCTTTCCAGTTCCAGGTTCTAGGCTCATCATGTCCCTTTTTTATTAACTTACCCTTACAATGAAATCAATTTGACATCTACCATTAAATACACCTAAAGAGGCTTAAATATTAAGAAGTACATCCATGTAGCCCTGGATAATTTATCTTATTATTTACTGGTTTTCATAATTTTCACAAAATACTTAGTTATTTAATGACCCATCACAGAGTTTTTATGGAAAGTGGCAAATGTTAAAAGTATGTAATTCTTAAAATTCTGTACAGATTTTACTAGTCATATATAAGGATTAAAGAAAGGCTAAGCAGTGGTAGCACATACCTTTAATCCTAATACTCAGGAGGTAGAGGTAAGCAAATGTCTGTGAGTTCAAGGCCAACCTGGTCTACAGAGCAAGTTCCAGAACAGCCAGGGCTGTTACACAGAAAAAACCTGTCTCAAAAGAAAATTAGTTAATTAGTTAATTGTTGTTCGAATTTCTAAAGGTTTTATAATAATAATAATAATAATAAAAACAACTCAATACCAGATACTGGGATGAAAGCTGAACGGTCAGGGAAGCAGAGCAAGTCACAGCCACCACCTCTTATCTCACCAACACCTCAGCCTAAAAAGGCTTTCTAGCCGAAAGGCCTCTAGCCAAAAGCAGTTCTTCAGCTGAAAAGCCTTTAGATCCTGTCTCCTCGTGCCTTATATACCTTTCTCTGCCCAGCCATCACTTCCTGGGATTAAAGACATGTGTGCTTCCCAGTACTGGGTTTAAAGGTTTGTGCCACCACTGCTTGGCTCTGTTTCTCTCATAGACTGAGTCAATCTCATGTAGTCCAGGGTAGCTTTGAACTCACAGAGATCCAGACAGATCTTTGCCTCCTGAGTGCTAGGATTAAAGGGGTGTGCCACCACTGTCTGGTCTTTATGTTTAATCTAGTGGCTTGTTCTGTTTTCTGATCTGCAGGCAAATTTTATTAGGGTACAAAATATATCACCATAGTTAATTAATTAAAGAAACAAATCCAGGCTAGATAGGGTAAGCTGTGTGCCACAGCCAAATAATCACTAAAAGAAATGCCTGTGATTGTATAGTCCAGGGCCACTGAATATCAACATACATTTAATACACATTTTGCATAACCCTATGAAAAGAATCAGCTGTTTAAATGAGATGTAAATTATACAGGCATATTTTAACATTGCAGACAATCTATTTGATACATGTGCATTGTTCATGATGATATTTTAACTGTTTGCTGTAAAGCTTAGCATAACTCAGAAATTCAGCTGTCTAATATGTTGTTATGAAAAATGAAAGAGTAATAAATGATCACAGACTGTCTCCCAGCCTTGTTGTTTTCACCATTAGAATATTCTTGTTTTCTACAGTTTTTCCAGGTTATGTACTCAAACCTGAAGATTTGGAGCTAAGAACCTCAGACAAGAGAACACTTACCTGAAAAGTTCATGATTTTATTTCTTTTTTTACAGTTGAGTAGTATCCCATAGTATATATGTACCACATTTTCATTATCCATTCATCTATTGAAGGTCAGTTAGGTTGTTTCCATTTCCCAGCTATTTTGAAAAGAACAGCAACAAACATTGATGAGCAAGCATCTGTGGAGTAGGAGACTAAATCCTTGGGGACCATGCCAAGGAGGGGTGTAGCTGGGTCATAATGTCAATTTATTTTTAGCTTTCTGAGGATTCTTCCCACAGCTTTCCATGGTGGCTGGAGCAGTTTGCAGACTCACAGTGAGTGGGGTTTCCCTCACCCTCCTCCAGAATTCCTTGTCAGCTGTTTCGCTGCTCTTTGCCAGTCTGGCTGGGGAGAGGTGGAATTGCAAAGTTGTTTTGATTTGCTTTTCCCTAATCTCTTCACGTGATGAGCAGTATCTTGAAATTTTCCTAGTAATTTGTATGCTTCTTTTGAGAAGTCTTCTCAGATGTCAGGCCCATATTTTAAATGAATCACTAATTTTTGAGTCAGTTTTTTAGTTATGTATATATTCTGGGTATTAATCCCACCTCAATTATTATAGCTGGGAAGATTCTTTCCCATTCTGTGGTCTTCCTTTTCACCCAACTGCTTGTTTTTCAGCTATGCGGGCATTTTGTTTTATCTTTTAGCTTTATGAAATCCCGTGTGGCAATTGCTGGCTTCCGTTCTTAGGAAAATAGGGTCCTAGTCCCCAGATCTTTTCCTATGTTTATATCATGCAGAATATGTCTATTTTTCTTCTAGTAGTTTCAGTGTTTCTAGTTTCACATTTAGATCTTTGCACCATTTGGAGTTAATCTTTGGGAGCTGATAGATACAGATCTAATTTCATTCTTCTGCATGTAAACATCCAGGAAAGTGAAAGGGGACCATTGTGGAAGGCAAGGTAGGATAGAGAGGGGAATAGTAGGGTACATGTGATCTGAAGGGAAAATGGGAGCCTTTAATTAGGGAAAGGTTACATAGATAAATGTAAAATTACAGTAAGGATGTCTGAAAAATCCATAAATTGTAATAATAGTTATGTAAAATAACTATA